GCATCAGCTCGCTCCTGCTCTGGTATCATTCTCTAGCCCCTTGTTAGCTTCTGAAGGCTCCTTTGTGTTTCTGCTCTACCTGTTCCACTTTTCCATCCATCTCCTCAATATCCTTTTAAGATAAAACCCTCATGAAATGAAGATTTAGGTAACATTCTTTGTTGTGCTACACAGCACAAGAGTTGTTTTGATAGAAATCACATTAACTATAATAGCGAATGGTTCAAAGAACCTGAGTCTTAATAGGAATAGCTAATAAGTAAATTTACTGAGCACTTATTATGTGGTGGGAACTTTACATTTATTTCTTCATTTAATTATCTTAAGGACCTAATGAGAAAGGTACTATTTTTGTTTAATCCTCACTCTAGTGATGAGGGTACTGCTGAGGCTCAGAGGGGCTAAGTAACTTGCTAGAGAGTCATATAGCTAGTAAGTGGCAGAACTGGGACAAGAACCAAGTTTGTATGTCTCTAAAAACCATGCCTCTTAGCCATTTGATTATGCTGGATGCGGTATAATGTAATTGGGAAAAGCAATGACACAAAACCATGCTCTTAGTTATTATATTACACTAGATGCATCATGACATAATTTTAAAGAGCATGATTTGTTTTGTGTTGAATATGAGAGATCTGGGCTCAGATCTTGGTCACTTCCCAGTTTTAACTGTACGATCTTGAGCCAGTTATTTAGAACTTAATAGGACCTTCAAAACTTTGCAAGATCTGGGTCCTGTCTGACATCCAATCTTTTCTCTCATTTCTCTACAGTCATACACCAGGCTCAAGTCCCACTGGTCTTCCTTCAGCTCCTCAGTCAAGCTCTTTCCTCTCTTAAGGAGATTTGCAAATACTGCTTCTGGAATGCTGTCACCTGCCTAACTCTGACTCATCTTTTAGCTCATCTTTTAGCACTTCCTCAGGCCTTTCTCCAACCCTGATGTAAATACCTTCTATTATTCTTTCATAGCACATATAAGTGAAATTTTTGTTATATATTTTCATATTTCATGTCTGTTTAATTCAATCAGGGGTCCATAAACTGTAGCCTACAAGTGAAATCCAAATGTCCTGTTTTTGTCCGTAAAGCTTTATTGGAGCACAGCCACACAGGTTCATTTACATATTGCAGACGGCTTTCAGACTACTAGGGCAGAGTTGAGTAATTGAGACAAAGACTATATGGCTCACAAGGCTAAAAATATTTACTATGTGATCCTTTACAGAAAAGCTCGCTGACCCCCTAAAGCAGAGGATAAACTGGACGAGATTCTTGTTCACCACTGAATACTTAGTGATAGGTACACTGCAGTCTAGTAACATTTGTTGATTTCACAAATAAATGAATTATTCAGCCATAAAATGGGACTTATCATAAAAATTAATTGGAATTTTATATATATATATATAGTTCTTGGCATATAATTGGTAATTACTTTTATTAGGTTGTCAGAAAATTTCTGTAAGATAAATGAACAATTCATAATGTTATTTTTACATACTTGCTTAAGAAATCCATGATGTTTAAGCTTGAAACTAAAAAAAAATAGTTTTTGTAAACTTGGAAATGCCAAAAATTTTTTAAATAAAAAAAGGCTGTCAATTTTTATTCTCACCTAAACTATTTTATGTATTGATGTTTCTGAATTTGAGCTGTTCCCTACTTCCATTATGAAAGACGGCTAAAGTAAAGGTAAAATTCAATTTAAACAGCCATTCTATTTCACAACAGTTTTATTTCTTAATGATATACAACTTATCACGTCAGTGCTGTAATATTTCATTTCACACTTGAAGTCAGTATTTCTTTTTCTGGAAAAAACATACCTTGTTCTGTGTATAGCTAAATAAACAAGTGCAATGGCAGAGCAGTCTTTGACAGCTTTTAAGAAAAGATGACGGTGAGCCATTTAGTGAGGTTCTACTGGACAGTCTACAGTAGGGCAGCTTCAAAGAGGGCAAAGCAGCTAACATTTTTCTTTGCAACATGTGAATACACAGTTGAAAGCAAGCCCAGGTTAGGGATGCCGCTACACATGTTGCAAAGAAAAATGATATGCTGTTTTGGATTTGCTGGTTTTGTTTATTAGAAGTGCCCTACATATTTTAGGCTCTTGCCCAAACGACTCTTAAAACCGCTCTGATAGTAGGTGAGAGGTGCACAAGACAAGCATTTATATGTAAGATGTCTGAAATTGTCAATAGCCTCTAAAATAATCACTGAAATATATATTAAAACATGGCAGATTTCAATTTTACTAATTCTGTTTAAAAGCATTGAACTTACAGGCCTACTGTATCTAAAGACTGGAGAAAAGAATAAATATATCCTAAATTCTAAAGAATAAAATAAAGAGATCTGTCTTCAGAATTTAAAAAAATGGTAAGTCAAACTAAGCTGAATTTGAATAAGTTTTCTTCTTCTAAAGTTATTATGACTTCTAACCTGGATGAGAGTAACAGTCACTGTAGCTGCAACTGTATATAAATAAAGATATTCAATTATTAGTTCAAAAGTAGGATATTAAAAATCTTTTTTTCTTTTTGTTTTTTTGAGACAGGGTCTCACTCTGTTGCCCACGTTGAAGTGGAGTAACATGATCACGGCTCACTGCAGTTTTGACATCTCAGGCCCTAGTGATCCCCAAGTAGTTGGGAACACAGGTGCGTGCCACTACCACACCAATTTTTTTTTTTTTTTTTACTTTTTTAAATAAGAGATTGCATTTCCCTATGTTGCCCAGGCTGGTCTTGAACTCCTGGGCTCAAGTGATCCGCCTGTCAAAAGTGCTGGGATTACAGGCATGAACTACCACTTCTGACTTTAAAATTCTTGTATCCCTAGAATTCCTGTCATTTGTTACAACATGGGTGAAACCAACTGGAAGACATTATGTTAAGTGAAATAAGCCAGGCACAAAAGGACACATTTTGCATGTTCTCACTTGTGTGGGAGCTAATTTTTTTTTAAATTGAACTCCCTGAGATAGAGAGTAGACTGATGGCTACCATAGGCTTGGAACGGTAGCTGGGCATGGAGCGGGGAGGGGATAAAGTGGGGATGTTTAATGGGTATAAAAATAGGTAAAATGAATAAGATCTAGAATTTGGTAGTACATAGGGTGACTACAGTTAATAAGAATTTATCGTATATTTAAAAGTAATTAAAAGAATAGAATTGGAATGTTCTTAATACAAAGAAATGATAAATGCTTGAGGTAGGCACACCTCAGTTATCCTGATTTTGATCACTACACATTGTATACATGTATCAAAACATCACATGTATCCCATATTAAATACAACTATTATCTACCCATAATAATTAAAAATAGAAATTAAAAAATCTTGGATCCCTGTTTTTTAAAAATAAAGCATAATAAAAGCTCATGAATTCAACCTGCAAAAATTATCTTCTAACTTTGCAAGCAAAACAAGATACAACGAATATCATAAACCTAAAAATTATCTGATGTTGGTAATAATGTGTAAATGCTCATTCATATGTTTTTGACTGTACTCAAAATTGGTTCTGGTCCAAATAACAAAGTCCAAACAGTGTTACATGATGTTCAATATTTCAGTCTTAATTTCAATTTCAAGCTATAGGCCAATTAAAAAATAGTGGTTTTCTATTGACACAATTATTGCTTTTTGGCTTGATCCACAGCGAGAAACGATGCGCATGAAAACACTAAAGGAATCCACCATAAATCTTAGTATTATTCACCCTTTAGCTAAACATGCAGCCAAAACTAGTTCAAGTCATGTGTACCTGAAAATATACAATAATTTAGAGGAGCATAAACTTGAAAACCTAAAAGTTTCTCTACTTTTAATGGTATACTGACTTTGATGCAATAAATAATAATTCCTATTCATTATAATTTACTCATGAAACAACATTATATTTAAAAAAATGAATCAATCAGTTCTAGTCCCATTTGTATGTCCAAGAAGACAAAAAGGGACAATAGAGGACATAAGCGTCTATATTTGTGGGGAAATTACAGTCTGGTAGTTGTCCCCGGGGCTACTGTGTAGCCTTTCTTCAGTGTAACTGATCAATAGGCAAAACATTCTTCTCTTTCACAGTTCAGAAACGTCTTCTCTGCAGGTTCCATGATCCATATGAGATGGTTGGGACCCTGCACTACTCTAATTTCTCCCAGGACCATTATTTAATATTTAATGTTAGACAAACTACCCAGCTGTCCTTATATAGCCTAACTAAATCCACTCTCCCCAAGTGTGAAGAAAAATAGAGTCAAATTGCAGGCATTCATGATATACAAGTCTTTAATGCTGAACTGAGCATTTGAATGTGTAAAGTCTTCACAACAGATTAATTGTATCACACAGACATTATCACTGGCATTTCAGAAAAAAATTATAACACCATCTGCCTCTATGTTTATCAAATTCAGATTTAAAATGGTATGAATTAACTGATAGTTCTTGCCTATATGTTTTAAGTTATTAATATCTTGTGTGGGTGTTTTCTTTGTTGTTGTCAGCACAATGTTAAAATGTTTGGATGTTCTTCAAAATCTCATTTACTATGAATAAAATTGAAAGCCATTTTTATACAGGATATTTATCCCATATTATAAACCTTTAAGTGAATGACCACAAAAGGTCTAGTTCCCATGAATATAAGGATATCTTTGTTTGATGATGCGTGCAATGTAGCAATGTTGTGCTGATTAACTCTTAATTATCAAACTATTCATGTCACACAAGCACACTTCCCATTTAAAATTTGTATTGAAGTAAAAAGTGAATGATCACAAATGTGTAAACTGTATTTCTGACAAATAAAGTGATTTTTTCTCCTTTATATATAAGAGATTATCAGCACTTTAACTGGCCACATTTAATTAACCCAAACTTCTCTTAATAGATGTTTACAGATTCAAAATATTTTCTGTACCCTTAACATATGTGGAGAAAATATAATTAATAAATAATGATACAAAGAAAGTTTACTCCACTCACCTGTCTGTTACGTTCATCCATAATCCTCGTAATCTGAATCTTTTTTCTCCCCATAGTCCCCGTTTTTCTTCTCTCTCTCGTCCCTGAAATTATGTATTTTTTCCTTCCTTTTCTTTCTCTTTCCTGTTTCCTCCAAACAAATCTCCTTCTTCAGCACTTGCACAGCTCAGTTCCCAAATTCCTGCATTCGTTCCTGCTGAACAAAAAAGAAAAATTAAATACCACTCTAACAGCAAGTCAGTTTCATAAGAACTATCATATTCTAATTTTATCAAGGAAATAGGCTATATGGAACTAAAGCAATAAAATGAATAAAAACAACTTTTTGTTAAAAGTATATGGTGTATCACAGACAGGAGCATATCGGGTAGGAATGTTTTATTTTTTAATAATCTCATAAGTAATTTAACAAGTCATTTAAGTGATGCTTTTTTAAAGACTAACACTTGAAATGTATTTTTTTTTGTAAAAAGTTTCCTAATCTTTTTAATGAAATTAGGTGACAATTTCACCCTTCTGTTATGAAAAATTACCTAAATCAGAGAGTTAATGAACCTTTATGTACCTGTGTATGCTAAGTAGGGCAGCTAATTCATTTCTGAAGGGAAAACAATCTCCTGTTTTGACAGCAGAGGTGATAACGTCCCTCGTTATGCAAATAGGATGGACGATTATGAAAGTGCTGTTTGATACATGTAAATGTCAACTAATTTAAATCTAAATCCTTTACTCTTACTTTAAAAAAATTATTGCTGTGAGAACACCGTAAAAATAATATGGAATATTTAATCTTAGGTTACAAGCATCTATCAGCAGTGAGATCTTTTCTTTTTGAAAGCCCTTAAACTACATCTTAGATAACAAGAATCAAAAAAGATAAGCATTGATAGAAAATAAATGGTGCAAAATTAAGATTATTCTTCAATTATACCATACTTTTTATAACAGGCCATCCATCCTCTAAATTTAAATATTTACAAACAGACATCACGTCTTTGTGGAGTAAGATACAAAATTGCAGAAGCTTCATATTACATACTGGCGATCTCTGGGTCATGAATTAAAATTAGAGAAATGATCATCAATAACATGAGATAAGTCCAAGAAACCCAGAATATTAAAAGTACGTACTTTACTTGGTTTTCAATTATATCTGAAAATACTTGAACATAATGGAAGTTAATTGCTCTGAAATGTGAAAGTTAACAAGAAAGCATTCCACAATGGTTTCTTCAAGCAACAGCTCCAATTATTCTATTTCGTCTTAGGTCAATGAATGCAACAACTTTACACACTGCTCAGAATTTCCCTGTTTATTTTAGCTGGTGTCTGACAACGGACCTGATAAATTCCCACATGCATTATGTAATGCTAAGCCAATGTCCTGGCTATTTAATAGATTATTTGGCTCCAATTCAAAGTTCTTGGAACAGGAAGGCTGTTACACATTCGGTCTGACCATTAGCTGTCTTTTGATTTCTTTAATTTCTAAATTCTTTATCACCTTGGGTATTTTTTTTTAGTTTTTGGTGATTATTTAATTGCAGAAGCTATTATGACATAATTAGTTCTGGTGGATTAAGTGCTGCTTAAATACTAAGACTATCCCTTCTCTTTGCCCCATGCCTCTCTGCTAAACTGCAGCTCGGTTCTGCCTCTCAGAATATGTATGTTGAGTAACATTATGACCACACAGTGCTCATCAAAAACTACTGCTCCAGCTGTAATTTTAAATGTTGGAGGTGGTTCAAAATTTCAAAGAGTTGTAGAAATAACACACATTTGACAAATACACATAAAAATGGTTATAACATATTGAAATCACATTAAAATATGAAATACCTACAAAGCATAATTGCATCATATATTTGATGTTGCTAGACACTGTCCGTCTATTTTTAGAAAAAGTCTTAAATGTCACTCAATGGGGCAACTTTCCTGTGTTTCCTATAGTCTTACCTTAGAAGCAAGCAGCATGTTAGAATGGTATTTCCCATGCATCTTTAAGACCCCAAAGATACAAACAAGCTTTCTCTATCACAGAAAGCCAATGCATGAATCCACAGCAAATGCATATAGGACAATTTCCTTTCCTTTCATTGAGCTGAGGCCGGTGGCACTATCGGCTTACAGGACTATGGCTGCCTAAGCGCTTATTCACTTCAAGGTGGAGGGTCAGGGTGAGCAGATTAGAGTGTGGTGATAAGGCAGAAGAGACAAGAATGTCTACAGATTTTGATTTCCAAATACAAATAACCAAACAAGCAGCGAAACAACTTTGGAGAAAAGTCTCAGAAAGGCAGAGAGAGTTCCTGACAAACCAAACTTAGGAGAGTTCCTCCATATCACCACCCCATATTTCACAACTTTGAATGAGACTATTTTTTAAAAGAGCAGAGCAAGGACTTTAAAAAAAAAAATTCTTAAAACATGCAGGAAAAAAATTTTGCCAAAGAGAATGTGTGTATGTATCTATGCATATATAAGTGCTTGATAAAAATGCCATTGAATATATTCTCTTTTTTGAAATATGCAAAGCAATGTAGAGAGAAGCAAGTTTAAATTTCAATAGGACTAAATTTTTGTTTTCTGTATAAATAAATATTTCTTGAGATATTGCCTTCAGAACATTTCTAAAATGCAAAATTTGGTATGAAGTACACATGCAGAGTAATATGTGGTGATGATGACACTAAGTAACTGGTCATGAAGTAAAGTCTATCATGAAACGTGGTTTAGAACATTTGATTATGGGTCACCACATTTCAAAGCTGTCAGTAAAAATTTAAAGAATTAGGAAGGTCAACAACAGCTCACGCATTGTTTTCTTAGCACATTTTCTCTAACCTAATTTTTATGCAAAAACTATATTATAAGGTCAGTTTCAAGTACTAATTTGTAAGAGGCCTAGAGAGGTGAAGAAAGAAATTATTTAACTTTAGTAATCTGTAAAACTGTTTTGTGTGTATATGAAAAAGGATTATAATAGCTTGCCTACATGTAGTAAAATTTCAAGTTATGCAGAGAGCTTTCATTATGTACAATCAACCATAAGCTTAACATAATTCCAACAGCCTTGCCGCTACTTTTTTCCACAGGAAAGAAGCATTCTTAGAAAATGACAGAGCTACATATAAATAATCAGTAATTGAAAAAAAAGAAAAAATGTTCTACTATAGTTACACTCTATAGAGTTACAGTCTTCTGCATTTTTTTTCTTAAAAAAAAAAAAAAAAGCCAACCCAGATAAAAGAAAACTAAAATGAGGCTGCTTACTAAAAAGGGGAACTTCATTATGGCAGGCTTCTGTTCATTTTGAGTTTGGCATAAGCAGGCAGATGAAGGCAAAGTGGTTTGAGACCCAAGTCGAGAAGAATTTCTTCTGGACAGATGCTAAAGATCATTCTCCCACTGGGCTATCTCATTTACAAACAAGTTCCCTTGAGTGACACATACCTCCCCCTTCCATTTCCCTCCTCCCTCCCTCACTCTTTCTTGCCCTCTTCCTCCCTCCTTCCCTCCTACAAATCTCTCCCAGTAGCACAGAAGAATTTTGACAGAATGGCAGGAAACACGCACACAGACTGGTCAGGGAAGGATATGATGTCAGCAACCACGAACAATAAAAGGTGTAAAGGTGCTTCCTTCCCTAAACTGTTCCAGAAGTGTAAAATGGGAACCAAAACTCTCCACTTCCTTCTCTGAGCAGAACTGTCTGAGTGCGCTGTGCTGCACACCCCACACACAGAGGCCTTGGAGAGGTTCAGATAAGGGACAATGAGGACAATTCAGACCTGGGGGCGTGATTTTTAATTTCCCTCTTTAAAACACCTGAGAAAAATCCATGTCAACTCTAGGTTAGTGTTTTATTACGATTGCTTTAAGAAATGAAAATAAGAAAACAAAAAAGTTACTTCATTGAAGTAGCAGATATATCTTAATTATTGTTTACCAGGCCTTAGAAAAATCATCATACACAGTTAATGCAGTCATATAATTGGAATTTACCCTTTGAGGCAAATGAAAAATTCTATGCAAGCAAAGAATCAAAATAGATAAATGAAAACTTTTGGTTAAAAAAAAAGAATTATGAAAACCGGCGGAAAAAAAAATCAATGCATGCTGGTAAAATATGCTAATCATTTGTTTGCTCCCACATTAAAAAAAAAAAAGATATACTGAGGGGGAAAAGATTCTTATGGTTATTGAGACTCTCGAGGTTCTTTAAAAAAATTCAAACTAGGAACCAAAGTATATAACACAAACTTTGCATCTATAGTGAAACTATTTAATCTCCTCGCTATTAAGTTCTTTCTAACATGGAAATGGCATTCTACATAAGGTTTCTGTAGGAAGAAAACCACATATCAAGTGGATCTGAGTCATCATCAGATTTCAATCATCTTCCCACAACACTTTGATTTAGAAGTTAAACATAACCTTCAGTTATGTGTTTTGATCTTAGAGTGAGACTGCCATGCCACATTAAAAGATGTGGGAAGAAATTAATTCTCTTCTGCTAAACTTATCTTTGCAAAGTATGTATTTTGCTACAATAAGTACAATGCAGTCACTTAAATAAAAACAGCCTATGAATAATGGTAAAACATTGAAATATGTGATGCCAGTTTTCAAAAAAATTTCTGGTTTTCTTTTATTCGTATTAGCAAATATCTTTTTCATTGACTTACATTTTCACTAACGCTAGCATCCTCAAATAATGTTTTGTAAAAACTCAAAGCTGAAAACTGAGCATACTCTATCATACAACACTCACAACACTAAATAATACTGTTAAATAAATACAAACTGGATACATCGTAAGGGGCAAAAATGATCATAAGCCCAGTTGCTGCAAGCCTGGTATTGCTAAATCAAATAATTAAATGATTCATTATCTTTTTAAGTGGAAAACTTTGGTCAATATGTTACATCTAATTACATTTAACTTTCTATTTTGTGATTTGTTTGAAAAATGTATGAAGCACGCAATTATATTTTGGTTAAAAGGAACAGGCAGAACTTTTACTTTTTTTCCAATAAGAGCTATTCTGACCTTCAAAAGGTATAACCAGATTAGTACTCCTATAGATGCTCGACTGCGTGATGTCTTGAGTTGAGGAGTATTTCCTTGGTCTTGAAAGTTATCCATTTCTCTCTAAGCTTACCATGTATTTTATAAATGTACCATTACCT